GGGAGGATTGACTGACTATGAGGACTGAGTGACTGGGAGGACTTACTGAAATGATACTCTGAGAGTATGCATATGATTTTATCACTGGGTTGCATCGCATTGACATACACATTTGATATACATGCATAGAGATGCATTATCCTCATGTTGTACGGTATCACGTCATTCATGACTTCTCACACATATTGGCATATGGGAATAGTGATGCATTTTTCACTGGTTATCTGGAAAGAAAATAAAACATCTTATCATTGTTGAAAGGATTTTTGGGAAAAATTACTGTTTTCAAACTTACTTATATTTTTGGTAAACAATTTGGATTTTTACTGACACACTGGAAAGGCAGAATTGTTATCAGAAATCATGATTAAGCTGAGCATTTTATATGTGGGTTACTTCTTTGTTACTTGCTTTATGTTGATATGAATTGTTATTGGTTATTGGTAATGGACCCGACCTTAGTACAAGCTCGTCACTACTTTCAACCTAATGTTAGGTTTGTTACTTATTTAGTACATGGGGTCGGTTGTACTCATACTACACTTCTGCACCTTGCATGCAGATGTTAGCTGCTGATGTTGCTGCGTTCGTCGGGAGCTGGATCTGAAGATGTACATGAGTTCCGGTTGTAGTTGTCTCTTGTTCATGGTAGCCTTAGATTCATAAAACTCTGTATATGTACTTTTCAAACAGATGATGTATTTATTTCATACCAGCTTTGTAAACTCTATTCTTAGAAGCTCATGATTTGTACTACCAGTTCTTGGGAAAATGTATTGGTTTCATATATTTTCTTTTAATTAGTTGCCTTATTAAATTCATTGAAATTGGATAGTTGATAATTAACTTACCTAGCGGGTTGGGTTAGGTGCCATCACGACTAGTCGGATTTTGGGTCGTGACAGTCAGCAACCCAACTTCTCAAAATTCATCCTCTCAAATTCTCATAAGGAAAGCAAGCAGTTGAGAATGAGCTGTGATATTTTCTTCGTAGAATATCAAGATTCAATCTAAGGTCAACACAAATGAGCAAGTCAAGAATCAAGATTTGACTTCATAAGACACATAGATGGGGATTTTGTAACTCCTAGATTGCAGACATATGTAGGTTTATCTTTCTTTTCATTTGATGTAAGCAACAAGTAACAATAAAAGTAGCAAGTAACAGTAACAACAACAGCAACAGTCTTAACTCCAGTGTCCGGTAGTCCCAGCTACCAAAATTTTTCCAGAGTTATACAGACCTGATTCGTTTAAAGCCAAGGATATGTAGGCAACCTCGAAAATAAGGTTCGATCACCTTTTTCAAGAAATGCTTTCATTTGAGTGATATATGAGCAAAATTAGTCATGACATTCACTATCTTTGCACGAAAAATTTTCATGTTCTCGAGCGAAGAGAGACAGCTATAAATGCCTAATTTTTGATTCTTTTTTCTTCTACATTATAATTTTTAGGATTATTATGTGTGTATTTATAGATTTTGAATTAGACTTTAGTTTAATTAATTGTTATGAGGTTCAAGGGATTGGGCTTCTTTATTTTTCATCCAAATTGGGCCAAAATTTGAGGCAAATCGGCTTACCCCGTCCAAGATGAGTCTAAGATCAAACGGAGTCATTTCACTTAGTGACTTAGAGAACAATCTCATCCATCTTTTATCTAATGGCTCTTATTTTTTTCCCAATTTCTCCCATAACCCCAAATCCTAGAGCCCCTTCTTCTTTCTCCCTTTCCCATATATCGCTGTCGCCGCCCCTCTCCACGGTAGCACGGCTCAGAAATCGCCCCACGGCGGCGGCTCACCACCAAACCACCCCAAATTTGCACTATCTCCACATCTATCCCCCCCGCCCCCTTTCCGTCCCTCTCGTCCAAATCCTCAAAATCTCTCCCCTTCACCTCGACCTACTACCAGTGCCGCCGCCGCTCCGCCACCATCTGGTGGCTCCAATCACCCGCTAAGTTGCACTATTTTCTCCTATTTTCCTCTTTTTTGTATATCCCCAACCCGTGTTCCTCATAACCCACCAAATCCCATAAATAATAGATCCAAAGTAAACCCTAGCTGCCACCTTTTTCGCCTTTTTGTTGAAATTTTCGGCCACTAACCGAATAACCATCCAAAAGCTACCTATTCACCACGACGGTCATGCACCAGAATTGGTTACCTTGGTGTTTTAGCTCAAAGAAAGGGTGCTCGAGTCGGTTGTCCCACCTTATCTCATTGCCCCCGTTACCTCAGATTGTTCGGTATGCTTCAATCTTTTCCCTCATTTTTCTTAATTTCTTTTTTCCCGTTTGGTTTTGTATTTTAGTTTAATTTTCTTTATTTTGATTAATTGTTACTCTATGTTAAGTCTTTATGTTAGTTTCATGAAAAACCAAAAAGATTAGTTGAATAGTTTTTTTTTTTGTTAGTCGTTTGTTCAGTTGTTACTAATCATGTGTGATAGTTAGCGATGCTAGTTTAGTTTCTGTTTCGTGCATTAGTTTGTTATCTCAGTCGCTTCATGTTAGTTTGCACAAATCAAATTGATTTCAATCTAATTTGTTTGAATACTTAGTTCGGTTACCTTTTAAGTTTTGTTTCTGCTGTATCAATCCATAGTTTGGTTAGTTTGAGTTTTGAATTCAGCTATTTGTTGATAAAGTGTGTAGAGTACATGTTTGATTTGCTTTTACTATTTGAAGCATGCTAGAAGTACAACTACTTTTTGTTTGATTTTGGTAAAAACTGACAGTCCTTTCTCATTATTTTGGACAGATTTTTAGTTCGAACTTTGAACCATTTTTTAGGCACTCATCTCTTATAAAAGGGGAGGTCTTCCTTCACCTTAAAGGGGAACATCAGAAAAATAGACAACCGAAGGGAAAAATTTCAGCAATTATTTTCCTCTTGGAAATAATTATGTTCAATTGGAAGCATGTTTAGCCACTTTTTGAGTCGAGTTTCTTAAAGTTCATCGTATTGTTAAAGTGAATTTAATATTTAAAAGAAAGTTTTTTTTTTGCAGCATTTCTTTTATATTAAGACATTGGCTTTAGGAATTCTTAATATTTGAACTTTGGTTCAATTGGAAAATATTTTATTTCCTTAAATATCACATTAACTACTTTATGTGGTGCTTAATCTATTTTCCCGCACATTATTGGGTCATTGAGATAATTGTAAAATGATTAAACCAAAAATAAAAATGAGTTGTTTAATTTTAGCTAAGGTTTCAAGTGGATTCACTAAAAGTCAAATTTCCTTTAAAGTTAATAACTCAATAACTTAATCATCTTTAAATAATTAATGTAGAATGCTAGGCTACTAGTAGGCACGCTTTAACTTTTTCAGTCAGCTTGCGTAGCGTGATGATTAATTCAGTAATCTTATACCATATCCAATAGTTTTAATTAATATCTAATTTAATTAATCCCTTTCTATAATCGCGGATTCGCTTGCGTAGCGTGATAGTAACATTTTTTTAAATTAATTTTCTCAAGCAAAAATGTATTAAATTTTCAAAATTAATACAAATAATTGATTGTCATGATTTCAGATTCGCTTGTGAGGCGCAATTATGATTAAGTTAATTATTTTTATTTTTGATCATACATTCGCTTGCGTAGCGTGGTTATGACAACGTAATATTATCCAAATAATTCTTTAACATTTCTAATAATCAACAATAAAAGAGGACATAGGCAAAACATAAAAAATCAAATAAATTACAGTTTATCCAAAATTAATTCAAGCCAAGTTTAAGTCAGTCAAGCAACTGTGCTAGAACCACGGGATTTGGGGAGTGCCTCACACCTTCTCCCTGGTCAACAGAATTCCTTATCCAATCTCCTGTTCTCACGGACCAATAATAAAAAAAGTCAAATCTTCCTTTGAATAGGAATTCAAATAAAAAGTGACTTGGAACACTCAAAAATCAATTTCAAACTGCGACTCTGAACATTAAAATAATCCCCCTTTCAAAAAATGTACTGCGGCGACATTCTTGAAGACTGCCTGGTAGATCAGCAATTAATAAATAGGGGACAATTTTCTGTAAAAGATTTAAAATTCATGATCTTTGGTCATGACTAGTTGTTAGAACAATTAATTTGATTAATTTTGTAATCCAATACGAATTAATTTCAAGTAAAAATTGTAAGTTTAAAAAAGTAATCTTGATTTAAATGATTTCTGTAAATTACTTCTAACTTCTGTATCTTTAGCATCTGCTTTACTGCGAGGAGGGGATGCCTTTAGTAGCACAAGGTGCAAGTTTACTACAAAAAAATTTGCCTATATGCCAATGTAATAGCGTTCAAAATAACTTTTTATTTCAAGATTAATACAATTCTACGTCATGTTTATTTTTGTTACTTTTAAGAAAAACGTCTATTGTACACAACCTTACCCTGTATTTTTGCAAGAGCCGGGTAAGGCTGCGTACAATAGACCCTTATGATCCGGCCCTTCTCCGGATGGCCGGACCCCCTCGCATAGCGGGAGCTTAGTGCCCTGACCGCCCCTCTTTTTTCAAGAAAAACAAACTAGGCAATACGAATTGAGCTCCCAAACTGATTCAATTTTGCTGACTTTGATTGATGATCAAGAATACAAAGCCAAAGATATTCCACAACTATCAGCTTTTCAATTCTATGGCCACAAACTCAATATATTGATTCAAAGACAGACACAATGTTTTAAGAGCGAAAAGTGCACAAAAGTGAAAAAGTCCGCGGAATTTGATATCATGTACGGTTCTGTAGAGTGGGAGTAAGGGTGATTTATCTGTCATCTTTTCCACTATCACCCAAAAAAAACCAAACTCTGCCTTACATAAAGTTGCCCGAGTAAGATTCTTATGCGTTACTCACCCGTCAGCAACCAGAAACCCCACTTCCCGTATAAATTGGAGCGCACACTTCCTTGAAGTGAAGCGCATGATTGACAAAAAAAAAAAACATTTGAGTAAATATGAATTTAGTGCTCCAAAAATACATTGCAACTAACATAACTAATTTCAACAACCACTATTCAAAAATGCCAATAATTAATACAACATCTCAAAGCTCTTTAATAGGGTAGAAGTTAATACATCATCTCAAAGTTGAGACTTAAAGGATCAGCTGACTTTGATATAATCTTTACACTGTTTTTTCCTAAGGAGGCTATGGACTATACATGCTTCAAACACAAACCCTTCACATTCAGGGGTAAATGGAGAACATTAACCAAAACTTTAAAACAAGAAAAGATTGTGAAAGAGAGAAAAACAAGTTGCACTGCCTTATGAATTCACTTGGACTAGTGAATTTATATAAGTTGTTATGTGTAGTAACCTGTCAAATCATGTTTGATAATATGGCCGTTTTCTTCCTAGCTGTCAACCCTGTAAACAAGAGAATTATGTCCGTCATCCTTTGAATTATGTCTTCAAATGATGGACGGATTGCTGGATTGCTGTTTGTAATAGAGAAACCAAGGTTTAGTCCGAGTTCTGTATTTGCATACTTCAATGAAAAAACATAAACGATCAAAAAAAATGAGAGAGAAAAAGCACCCTTGCCAACAATCGTGGATGATTGCAGAAACTCGAGTATCAAGATTTTCTGGAATTTCCAATCTACGATTCATAAATCCGACGACTCCTACAACCTTTAAGCACAAAACTTACATTGGTTCCAATAGTAACCACTAAGAAGAGAACCCAAAGGACTTTTAATTAGACAACTTCCTATCAACACTTGCATGCTCACGCTTGCAAATACCAAAGAGGTAAAAGTGAGAGTCACCTGAAAAGAGTTAAGGTTGCTCCATGGTATAGATTCAGTCATTAATTCCCATAGGATCACACCAAAACTGAAGACATCAGATCTGTGCGATAACAGAAGCAATCAATCAGAAAGCCATTGCAATTGAAATGCAGAAAAAGATGAGAAGCTCGTCCAAGTATATGATCCAGGTTTCAGCCAAACTATTAGTGGTAACTGATAGTAGCATGTAGAGCAATTTAAACATATTCACACAAAAGAAAAAATCCTGCATTGTAAGCAACATCTGGTACCAGGAAACACTATACTCACAAGGATAATGTTGAAGTGTGTGACCATCTCATCTAAAAGCTTTATCTGTTGCAGAGAACACACTTTTATTTACTTAATTATGTCTTCAACATGCACCCTCACGTGCGGGGTTGATTTTTTTTTTTTTTTTTTTAATGAGCCAAGCACGTGAAAATTCTTTTTAATATTGGGTGGCAGTGAGACTCGAACCCAGTATCTCTGTCTGCTCTGATACCAAGTTGAAGTGTGTGACCATCTCATCTAAAAGCTTAAGTTGTTAGAGATAATACACTTTATTTACTTAATTATGTTTTCAACAGATAAAATGGTTCCTACCACCGAGGCGGACCTACGTTGTCCAGTGAGGGGCCCCGTGGACTTCAAGAAGAACTTACTATGTACATGTAAATATTTACAGGAAATAGTAATATAGAAACAGTGGTACCTGTTTACACAAAGTGTTCGTCAGTGCACTGGTTGGGAGGAGGTTTTGCAAGTCGTTTTGTGTGTTGTAACCAAGGTTTGAATCTCCCTCACGCCAATTACTTAAATTTTCACGCTAGTCTCTTCCCTCCCCCTTAAGTACATATAGACTGTATATTCTTATGCTGTTTTTTATGCTACCAGCCATTTCTGTTTTTTTTTTTTCCCCCTTTGTGCTTCTTCTTTATTTTCTTTACTTTTGTTATTTTATTGTTTTATACCCAACTATCTAGTACCCTTAGATTAGAATAAGAGTGGACGAATACAATAGTCTTATGTTTATTGGTTGCATTTTTTAAATACATGGTCTATTATACTAAACTGAAATTAATCCCGAACCAATCAAATATACCCCCCTATTATCGATCTATAGGACCAACGACAGATTCACATTTAATGTAATGGTGTTTCCCGTATATCTCCGACTACAGTTATATCTTTTTGCCATCCTACATTAAACGCATTCTTTGGAAAAAAGGCACAAATGGAAAAGGGCTCAAGCTCAACAAGCAATTGAGCATCAGATCAATAAGCTAGTCACCAACGCAAACTAACGGATGCAAAAATATTTAATCTTTTGATGAAGCTTGCGCAAGCAATGTTTGGGAACTTACTTCTCTGTTGAAGGTTCATTTCGAAGTACTTCAGGAGCCATCCACTGCGGCTATAGTGAAACAGACAGGTAAAGGGATAAGCTTTATCTGATGTGACCATACGAATAGGGCAAAAGAAAAGATCTTTTACCGTCCCTCGCCCAGATTTTGATGTTAGAAAGGTTGCATCTTTAAATCTTGATAGGCCAAAATCTCCAACCTGAGAAAAAAATTATCAGTGGAGTTGTCTAGTTAAAGGGCTTCGCTCATAATAAATTGAAGCATCCATTCAGCAATCAGTACCTTGACGGTCCAACTTTTATCGACAAGCAGATTTGAAGATTTCAGGTCTCTATGTACAATAGGTGGGTTTCGGCGATGCAAATAATTCATACCTCTTGCCTAGAGTCAATTGAACAAGGTCAAGTGTCACACGGAAAACATATTAGAGAAGGAAATTGATGAGTTCAAGCAAAAACCACACCACATCGAGGGCCATCCTAAGACGCCGACTGAAGTCTAATGGCTTATTATTTCGGTGAAGCGCTTTGAAAAGACTTCCCCTGAAACACGTGATGAGAAGTGTCGTCAATCATTTGCCAATTGCCAGTCCAGTTTTATATACATATTCTCACGAAAATCTCCTCGTGGGAGTAACTCAGTTCATTACCTGGGCAAAAACTCGGTGACGATAGCAGGTTTTTCTTGAGAAAATATGGCCCCCATGAATAGCAACGCGTTAGGATGTCTGAGTCTTTTCATTATTTCAATCTGAAAAACATGGTGAAAGTAGATTAAAATTTTATGTCCTATGAAGGCAGTGCCCATTTAGCTGCTAGTATCACATACCTCCTTTTTGTACTCGAGCAATGTTTCATCGCAGCATTGATTCCCGAAAAAAACCTTAACAGCAACATCCTAAAGATAACTTTGAGAGAATTAAGAATTTATATACTTCCAAAATTGACATACTATTCCACTAACCTTCAGAACATAAACGAAAACTTTTGAGCTAGAGACGTACCGATCCGTTCCAGATTCCATGATACACAACACCATATGAACCTAAATAAAAAATAAGGACAAAATGCTCGGCGTTATATGATGATAATTTATGCAAAGAGTTTCCATTGTACTTAATTCAGGCAATGATTTCTGCCCTTGTTGCAAAGTTATGCTTAAAATTTATACAATGACTCAATGAGTGGACAAGCGTACGAAAGTTCAAGAAAGGAGCTGCTTGTTGAAAAACATATTTGTCCAATGACACATTAGCTCCCAAAAAAAAAAACGTATGTAAATGATGAGATTACTCTACTTTACCTCGTCCAATTTCCTCCTTTAGGCTAATATCTTCCCATAAGATTTCACAATCTACTATCAAGCTTGACTCATTCTCAGTTATGTTTGATGAACTTCCACGGCTGTCAACGCTCCCCCCTGACTTTGGTGATTGCTTGCATTCTAAAAGCTGCTGCGATGAATCTTCCAGCTCTGAGAGTTTTGATTTCCCGAGTTGTAGCTTAAGCTCTTCATCATTCATACATGATCCCGGATACTGCTCAGGAATTTTAGATGCCTCGGGACATTCCTTGGAGTTCCTTGAGAAGGTTCCACTTGGACCCTCTACAACATCGTGCCCAGTTGTAGGGGCACACATTGTTCCCGGATCAAAACAAGTTCTTTTCTGGTTTTTCTGGAGGTTAATATATTCATCACCAAAGTGACAACAATTTGATTTAGCGTCTGAAGCTGTTGGCGGATATGGTTCAGCTACATCCTCACTAACACGAGTATTGTCATCCCCATTGTGTTGACCCTTCTCTTTACCAAGGTGCCCAAATCCTGCAATGTTCAGCTTTGACATAACCTTTGCTGCCTACAATTACAAACCAGTCATTAGAAATAACATCCAGCTTTAATCATATAACACATACAATTATCAAAACTTTTATTGGGACCTTCATTCTTTTATTCATTCAACACAAGATGCCTACACTTTTGTCTTTAACTTCTAATTCCTCTTGAGTCTTACTTAGTTGTGATCTCCGAGAGCACTCGTATTCCTCTCTCCTACCACGAAAACCTTTTTCCTTTTGATCCTTACATTCATCCCCTCTCTGAAAAAAGGCTGTAATATAGTAAACACCCCCCC